GAAGGACAAGCAGCAGCATCTGTCACTGCAGCTCCTGTCACAGCCAGGTACACTGAATAGTTGTGTAGAGATGTGTTTATCTGATTGCTCAAATTCTCTCTGTCATATTCTTACTCTGTAGGTCCAGGCATGCAGGTTCCAGTGGTTCTCCTTTTCCTGGGTCTCTTAACTGTCCCAAGCAGAGCCCAGAACTCAGCTACTGAGCAGGTGAGTGGGAGACAATATGCAGAGAGCAAGGGGAAGAGCTGCAGAGCAGGTAATTCAATTTTAGAGATTCTTACCAAAGGATTAAGCACTACCCTCCTAAATTACTGGGATTTTATTTAGCAACATAATGAGACTAACTCCTGCTTTACTTGGATAAAACCACAGTAGTTACATCAGGGGATGACCAGGAGGCAGAATTTCAAACTCAGTACTGCCTTTGGCATTAAAGTAACTGTTCCTACTCTCTCTGTAAGATTAAGTCAATATTTCTGTAGGTCATAGAAAAACACCTGTAGTTGTTTGCCTATGAAGTGTTTACCACACCTGCAAGTCTAACCAAAAGCACTCCTTGGACCTGCCAGAACTCTGCCACAGCTGATGGAGCCAATGCTGGTGAGGAAGAGGAAGATCCATTCTACAAGAGCCCTGTGAACAAGCTGGCAGCTGCAGTCTCCAACTTTGGCTACGACCTGTACCGCCAGCAGTCCAGCCGGACAGCCACGGCCAACGTGCTGCTGTCTCCCTTCAGCCTGGCCACTGCACTTTCTGGTCTCTCACTTGGTGAGTTCTTTGCCCCATTTCCACACTCACCCTCAGGTTTGGCAGTCCTCCCCTCATGTTTTCCTGCTCGTTGGCAGGGGCTGGAGAACGAACTGAGGATGTGATTTCTCGCGCCCTCTTCTATGATCTGCTCAACAAGGCCGAGGTCCACGACACCTACAAGGAGCTCCTGAGCAGTGTGACTGGGCCAGAGAAGAGCATGAAAAGTGCCTCCCGGATCATCTTGGAGAAAAGTAAAAGTCCTTCTTCCCCTCTATAAAATTTTACCTAAAAACCTGTCAGTAGTAGTTATTTTGGTGTGAATATATATATAAAAACACATTGAGTAGCACAGCACTAACAGGTCTGGCATCCTGCTGAGCCAGGATGCAGACAGGGCATGGAATGCTCTTGCTGCTCCAGAAAAAGGCTGGAAAGTTTGTGTGCACTTAAATAAAAGACCAGACATGCACACAAAGACATTGGTGACAGAACAGTTAACTCACAGAAGACCTAAAAGAAACTTGTTGATAATTTTACCTTCACTCCAGGCTGTCTGGCAGGTGTTGCTGGCTTCCAGGAACCACAGATCACATTTTCTATTTGTGATAACACTCAGCCATATTCCTTTGTTTAATTCCTTGCAGAGCTATTTGAAATGTCTTCTTCTGGCATGCAATAAACAGCTGCTGAGAATGCTAAGAGCTATCTTTTGGAACCTGCTGGTTCCAAGAATCCAATAGGTTGAGTAAGCTGTACTCAGAAAGCAGACTGGGAAAAGAAGAAAGGCTGATGTAGGAATGGCTGTGTCCAAGCCTTCAGTTCTTATCTCCTTTTTTCAGTTTTCAGAACAAAGTTATCCCATGCTTCTGCATGGGTGGCTGTAGGATTTGGATCACTTTCCTTAATGTGCTTTCAGATATTCCTCTTCAAAGCAGTTTTCTGGAGACAAACAGGCACAGATATTTTCTAAGAGACCTGCTGCTGGGCTTTGGATTGCCACCTGCTGCCTTGAGATTGTTTGGATAAGGGAGCTAGCTGCAGTATCCATGTTTTTATTCCCCAGGACTCAGGGCAAGGCCTGGATTTCACAGCCAGCTCGAGAAGTCCTACAAGATGCGACCAAGGGCACTGAGTGGCAACACCCAGCTGGACCTCCAAGAAATCAACACCTGGGTCCGACAGCAGACAAAGGGAAGGATCATGAGGTTCATGAAGGACATGCCCACAGATGTCAGCATTCTCCTTGCTGGGGCTGCTTTCTTCAAGGGTAAGAATGTTGGGTGCTTGGACACAGAAAAAATACCCATTAAGCACGTTAGAGATGTGAAGGGATGCTCGTCCAATAAAGCAAACAGGCTGTCAAACAGAGAGTGTGAGAAGAAAGTGTCTGAGAATGTTTAGTAAGGAAGGAAAAGAAAGCACGCTACCTGAATAAAAATAGTCCTGAGGGAGGAATTATTACTCTTGGGAAGCTGAATCTTGACCTGTTTGCAGTAAGAATCTGAAAGGGAAGTTTAAGTTCACAAAACTTCATTCAGAGACAGGATATTACCATTTAGGGAAGGGACAGCTTAGAGTGTTCTGAGCCTTCTTACCACTGTAGAAGGAACAATTTGATACCAGAGAGCTGTTCTTAAACATGCTGTAAGCCAGTGTCCTGGAGAATTATTGCTTAGAGACAAGGAGCAAAATAAAGGGTGGGGAGAGCAGCACTTTTTATCCATTAACACAATTGTTACCCTTTAAAATAGTTTTGTAATTATGTCAGTAGACATCAGCTTCCCAATGGCTACTCCACCCATGCACTGGCTTGATTATTTATTTGCCATTTAGCCAATTCTCAGATGAAAAGGAGGGGCCAAGGATGGCAGTAAATCAGTAGCTCCAATCAGTCTATTTCTATTCCTGTTATGCCTCGACTCCTTAATGCACAAATACTGTATATTAAAGAACAAGATTATTCAGCCACAGGCATAAGCCTGGTTTCATATGCTATTATTCCATAAAAATCCTCCATTTTCTCTCTTATAAACCAGGGACATGGAAAACCAAGTTTGACACCAAGAGGACTGCCCTGCAGGACTTCCACCTGGACGAGGACAGGACTGTGAAGGTGTCCATGATGTCAGACCCCAAAGCCATCCTGAGATATGGTTTTGACTCAGAACTCAACTGCAAGGTCAGACAACAAATATTGCCTAAGATCTCCTAAACCTATTGAGGAGCAGGTTCAGCTACACCTACCTGTTAACCCATTCCAGCCTTGCTACTTCTATCAGCTACTTTTGCAATCCCTATTTTGAAAGGCAGTGTTGACTCTTAGGATATTCTGCTTCTATCCAGGCTATGTCACAAGCAATCCAAAATTTAAATTATGCCCAGGTCCTACCAGCCTGTGTTGTTTGACTTAAAGTTGGGCAAGAAGGGCAGGGCACAGCTCTCAAAAGTTTTCCATCTCTACCTCTTTCAACCAATCTTTCCCTGGAGCATGAGTTCAAAGGTGTTCAAGTGAGAATTCCCCAAAGCAATGCTGCAGGATTCAGCAGGTGAGAGAGCACTTCCATAGCAGGAAGAGTGCAGCAAGGATGGATGAAAGCCTGGGGGAAAAGCCAGAAGTGTCAGGAAGCATCATGTCACATAAAAGCATACAGGGAAAAAGATCAAATGTTCACTGCAAAGGTTGAGATTCCAGCCTGAGAATCAGGCCTCTGCCTGGTACAAGATTGGTAAAACTGTTTATTATTGATGTGACCCTTTCTTATCTCTCTTATTTCTGTCTTGCAGATTGCCCAGCTGCCCCTGACAGAGGGAATCAGTGCCATGTTCTTCCTGCCCACAAAGGTGACCCAGAACATGACTCTGATTGAGGAAAGCCTCACTTCTGAGTTTGTCCACGATGTGGACAAGGAGCTGAAGACAGTCCACGCTGTGCTGAGCCTGCCCAAACTAAAGCTCAACCATGAAGAGGCACTTGGCAGCACACTAAAGGAGACAAGTATGTGCATCACACCCCCTTTGCAGGCTGCCAGGGCTCAAAGCAGGGGTCAAGTTGCTTCCTGCTCTCAGATTATGAAGCTGGTGGGTTGTTAATTATGGTTGTGGAGATTTCACCAGCAACCAAATCACCTTTGTGACCTTCATCCAGGACTTCTCAGCTTTTTATCACATCCATCCACCAAGCTCATGCAGTGCTGCCGAGAATGTGGGTGAAGCTCAGTACAAGCAGATGGAAGCTGCTCCTCCCTGTTCCCCCAAAAAACTCTGCCCAAGCAGCTCCCTGCCCTCGTGGATCACACATAAGCAGTGCTGCTCCCCCTTCTGCAATCCTTGCCTCCAGCTAATGGAACTTTCTCTCTTTCCTCCAGGGCTCCAATCACTTTTCACATCACCTGATTTCTCCAAGATTTCTGCCAAACCCCTGAGACTATCTCATGTGCAACACAAGGCAATGCTGGAGCTTGGTGAGGATGGGGAAAGATCCACACCAAACGCTGGGGCCAATGCTGCTCGTCTGACCTTCCCCATAGAATACCACGTGGACAGACCTTTCCTTCTTGTACTGAGGGATGATACCACTGGGACCCTCCTCTTCATTGGCAAGATCCTGGATCCCAGGGGTGTTTAGATCCCTTCACAATAATCTGTAATAGTAGGGCCCAAATGGAAAGGGTGATATTGGGAGGGATATTGGCTCCCTGCTCTGCTGCACAAAGACACAACTTGCAAATCTTACGCCTTCATGCTGCAATAAAAGAGCTTTGGCTATTAATCTCAGCAAGCCCAAGTATTCTCCCTTGAAAAGTTGTCTGCCTACACTCCCAATTTCCTCAGAGGAAGAATGCAGTTCTGTGTCCTGAAAGCACACATTATTTGGTGTATGCTGCACTGTTCCCCATCCTGTTTTCCAACCTGACACCAGCTGTTGATTCTGAGTCCCTCACACTGACAGACCTGAGCTGTAGCCCTCCAAGTTCTGCAATGCCCCCTTTTATAGACTGTAAGTTTGCACTTCCCAGGCTGTTGCCTCACCCCTTCCAACCATTTCCATTTGACACTGGCAAGAAGCAAAGTGCCTCAGAGGATTAAAAATAGAAGGCAACGTGCTCTGGATGACTGTATGTTCATAATGCTCAGGGCACCACACAGGGGAGAGTCACACCTCACACAAAAGCAACTCAAACATTTGCTTCCAACCCACACACAGAACTTATACAACACCCTCTGTTCCCACCATACCACACACACACCTCTCACGTTAGAATTGGTCATTTTATTTACAACAGGCTCACTAAAGAGCATTTCAAGACTTCATTCAAGTTGCTGTTACACATGATTTTCCAGCTTGTACTACATGACTACCTTACCACATGACACTTAGCTTTGATGAAAGATCACATTGCAGCTTCCTTTGACAGGGAAATTAAGTCCTCTGAAGGATGTTTATGGGAAGCTCTGACAGGCAGGCCTTCATCTCTTGTAGTTCCTGGATCTGAGCATTCTGAGGACCAAAGTGCACTGACAAAATCCCCTCTGCTCTTTGAATCGTGCTCAGAGCTTCAGAAACTGCAAATCTGAAACAGGAAGATAATGAGAACAGAGCATGCAAAATACTTAATTCAGCTTCTTGACTTACACAACCTTTAAGTCCTCCTTAACAAAAAACTAAACCTGTTCATGGCTATAGATCCCACCCTCCCTTGCCTTCCAGAAGCAGGAAAACTGTGTCTGCTTCAGCTGCAAAGGGAGGATGAGGGGGATGGAAAGGTAAGGAGATGGACAAAACCTGAAAATATGATCTTTGAGTATACAGGAACCCAATACTTCTTCACTGCAGCTCTTGCTAAAATTAATTTGGTTACAGGGAGTCGTTGTGAGGAGATTTTCAGAAGCAGTCAGGGGATTTCCTTGCCAATAAAGCAAGAGGATTTAATTCCCTCTTTTGAGAAGATGTCACTAACATTATACAACTGAGATACAAACACTAGGGGTGATGATTTGACAGAATAAAACAATTGGACAGGGAATAAACTGAGCCGGGGAGGAGAAAAAGACAGGCACAAAGGAGAGAAACAGATTCCTAAGAGAGTACCTGTGCTAGACTGCCCTGTGTCCTGTGAGACACCCTCAAGGTGCCTTGATATTGTCTCAGACACACAGGAGTGGTGCAGGGCAGGGACAGAGGATGAAACCAAGCTCACCCATTGAAGAGGATTTGTGCCAGCTTGAAAAGTTCATGGCCTGTTTCTACACTTGATGGCCCATGGTGCATTTCCACAATCTCAATACTCTTCTTCAGGTGTCTGGCTGCTTCCTGCCACTTCCCTGATGGAAAAACAAGCAAAACAGAACAATGAGAAATTAATAAATACTTCCTAGAGTTACTGCCACCCAAAGAATCTGACAGAATTAATCAAAACGTGGTGAACTCTGTCCACAGAATCAGGACAGGGAATCTAAAAGAACATGAGAGCACAGTACTGTTCACAGGCTGCTGGGAACACAGGTTTGGTCTTTCTGAGAGCCCTGCTAACAAAACTAGGGAAAAAATGAGAGGGCCAGTCAAAGAAAAAGCTAGTTATGTTAAATTCAAAGCTCAGGAAACATGGGATAGTGAGAGGACAGTGCCATACCAAGAGTAGCATACACCTGTGCCAGATGATCCTCCATCTCTCCCATCAGTAAATGCTCTGGAGACAAGAAGGTTCCAGCATCCATCTGACACTTCAGGAGCATTTTGATAGCCTGATCTATAAAAGAAAGTTATAAAATTCACCCTTCCACTATCCATGAAATAAACAAGGCCTGGGAATGCCCAACTCCACTGTTACCCTGATTTCTTTTTATTTAATTACTTTACTATGGAACAATATGTGACTTAGATTAACACCCAGATCAGGGGGTATAAAAAATCTAAAGCTGAAGTCCCCATGGACACCAGGCCACATGTCACAGCACCCCGATGGTATGAGCAACAGTGCCATCTCATGGTTCCTGTCCCAACCTCCTGACCTCAGGGCACAAAGCTGAGCCTTACCAGCCTTTCCGACTCTCAGCATGCCTAAACCTTTCTTGATTTGTTGCTGGAGGTCCTGTAAACGGCCAGACAAGTGATCTCTGCTGGCTGAGGTTGCACAAGCTTCATTTGAACAGCAAAGAGTGTCTTCTTCCCCCTGTGGAAATCACTTTTGTGATCATTCCTGCTCACATTCACCTCAAAGTTCACTCTCCATCTGCATTAGCTCTGGGTTATAGAGATGCTAAATTGTTCCTCACTTGTATTCATTAAACAAAGTGATTTTTTAAATAAATTGTTATCAGCTTATTTGATTTTATAAGAAACAGTGAGATACTGTCTTGACTCAATAGGGGCTTTTGGCTTCTGAGCAGGGATCAAAGTGAGGTCTTCACACCCCAATTAAGTTGCACAATCATAACTATGGAGAATTACCTGCATTTGGGCCTGGCATTTGGGACAGCAGAATGAATTTCTAATGGACACCACACTCTTGACACCAGACTCTAACTCCTCGAGGCACGCCGGGCAGCGACAATTGAAGAAATACTGGCTGAGAAGCTGCTGCCTCTCAGCAACCCTCATCCTACACCAGTGAGGCCCTGCAAAAGATATCTCTCACAAGTACAGTTCTTAATATCAGAATAAGTAGATTTTTGTTACAATTGAGACTAGGTATATTTTGGGGAGGACACAACTGGAGACTGAAAGTCTAACAGAGGGCTTAAGGGACAAAGACTCTGACATTAGATGAGAATTATATGAGAATTATGACATAAATAACCATCAGCTTGATAAGGGGAGGTGAATGACATCTGTGCCTTGAGACAAATGCAGAACTGGGGCTTACCATAGCAATGCAAAACCTCTTGGCCACTTGAGATTGGCTGTGATGCCCTGACAGTGGCAGCTGTCCCACTGAATGACACGCTGGTATTGGGGCAGCATGAGTGGTTCAGGAGGCTGAGGACAGGGAAGAAGGCTGTTGCCAGCCTCACAGGCTTCTTATCTACAACATCCCCATCTCCAGGCCCTGAAGACAGAGGAAAACCAAGCAGGTTGAGATTGAATACTCCCAAACCCACACAATTTCTGCAATGAGCCCCGTGACCGATCGCAGGCAGCAGCAGAAAGGTTCCTCGTATATTGCTGCAATAAATAATAGCTAAACACGTCTTGCATGTGCACCAAGGAACAGGCCAGCATGGGACAGGCCATTAAATTGTAAACAAATCATTTCCATCTGCAATGGGAGCTTTTTACAGCTGAGAATTTAATCTCTTCACACAAGAACATGGGCAAGGAGAGGACAAGATGGGCAAGGAGTCCTGGGCTCCTCAGGACAGGAAAGAGGAGCTACTGAGAGGGTCCAGTGGAGGCCACAGAGATGATGAGGGGTCTGGAGCATCTCTCTTATGAGGAGAGACTGAGGGAGCTGGGCTTAGCTAGTCTGGAGAAGACTGAGAAGGGTTCTCATCAATACATAAACAAATACAGGTGTCAGAGAATAGTGATGGACTCTTTTCTGTGGTGCCAGGATGAGGAGAACCAGCCACAGATTAAACAAGAAGCTCCACCTCAACATGAGGAAAAACATCTTTCCACTGAGGGTGGCAGAGCACTGGAACAGGCTGCCCAGGGAGGTCTGGAGACATTCCAAACCCACCTGGACCCGCTCCTGTGTCACCTGCTCCAGGTAACCCTGCCTGGGCAGGGGATTTGGACTGAATCATCTTCAGAGGCTCCTTCCAACCCCAACCATTCTGTGACAACACAGTAGGGCTTCAATTTTTTTTATCTTACCCAACTCCTGCATTACAGTGATCGCTTGTGCATTACACTGCAGCTGCAACACGTGCCTCAGCATTGCTTCTGCCACAGTCTTCAGCTCTGGGGACAATTCACCTGAGGTGTTCTCACATGGCTTTGGTTTGGACCACTGCTGAGGCGATTCCTGACTCAGCACAGCAGCCTCCAGGCCAGCTGCTTGCAGCTGTTTGCATATAGCTACCACACTGAGCGAGCAGAGGAACTTGTGCTCAGGGCTGTGCTGCTCAGTGTGGGGTAAAAGGTGGAACAGAGCTTGGTAAGAGCTCTGGTACTGACCACTGCTGTCACAACCAGGGACACCTCTGCTACCAGCTCCTGCATCTGCTGCCTCACCGAGAGGCTTGCAGCTTGCCTCAGGGCACTGCAGGCTCTTGTCCCCACGGTGGGACCACGCCACCAGCCTGCTAACCTCTGCAAATCCTGCCAGCAGGACAGTCCTCAAGGCCACGTGGCAGAAGACTCCCAGCGTGAGGAGCAGCGCTCCCAGGGAACACTCTGTCCTGTGGTACTGCTGCCATGCCACGTCTGCACAGTCCTGGCTGCAGTACTTGGCATAACTGCAGCCCTGGCAAGGCACCGAGGCCAGGAGCTGCCTCAGGCAGCGGTGGCAGTAAAGATCCGCGTTGGTGGCTCGAGTGTCCCACGCTGTGTCACCATCCTGCAGAGGAAGGCTCTCCCCAGGGCACAGCACGCTCACAAAGGCCTCCTCTTTCACCAGGCTCTGTCCTGGCACGATGTCCTGGGAGGCCAGCAAGTGACGTCCTCTCTCTGCATCAAAACCCAAGCTCAGGGATGAAGATGCACCTGAAATCCTGTTGTTCTCTTCCCAGATTTCTGGCTCCCCTTGAATGCCACCATGTGCTTCTTGTGCAGGCTCTGGACACCTCTCTTTCTCACCTAATTTAACCTTCAGCTGACTTAACTTTTTTAGCCGTGCCAGGTTTGTAGTCATGACACCATCCAGAGCAAATTTACTCTCCAGCACTCTGAGGCTCTCCTGTGCATCCTGTAACCTCCCCAGGCGCAGCAGACACTCAGCTTTCCGCAGCAGGACCTTGGGCAGCAGCCTGTCTGGATAGCCATGGCTTTCAGCCCTGGCAATATCTTCCAAACAAACCTAGGAACAAAGATAAGGCCTTTTCAGTGGGCTTGAAAACCAGCTTGTGCTCTTTCATTCCACCTAAGTCTCATGGAAGAATTCTGTGTGCTAATCAGCAAGTTCCACGTGCATAACCAACCTGCTGCCCAAATAAAGCATCCTGAAGTAGGGAAGTTGAGCTATGGATGCTTTAAGCACAGCATGGGAAGCACAGCATGGGAAGCACATCTGATCTACTGTTTCTTGTTCTAATAATCCAATCCTTCAGGGGCACCCAGGACATTGCAGGGTGGGTGCTGCCCTGGCCCCACTTACCTCAAAGTGTCCCAGGTGGAGGAGGGCGGCCGAGCGGTTGGCAAAGCACACGGACAACTCGGGGCTCCCGGGGAGCTCGTGGGATGCTGCCTGCAGAGACCAGAGAACTGCTGCTGCCTCGGGGGATCCCTCACAGGACCCTCTCAGCAGGGCATGCAGGATCCCCTTTTTGGGGATCCCCTCACCGGAGCTGCTCCTCGCCCCTCACCCTTCAACCATGAGGGGCTGCAGGAGCCTCTCTTGGGGACCCCTCAGGGATGTGAAGGTGTTGTGGGTAGGACCCCCTCTGCCACACCTACCTTGGAGTAGAGCCTCAGGGCAGCCTGGTAGTGGCCCTGCTTGAATTCCTGGTTGCCCTGCTCCCGGTACCGGCTCGCAGCCTCTGGCTTCTTGTCCGTGGCTGCCCGGTGGCACAGCTGCACCAGGGCTGCCTCCTCCTCCTCCTTGGTCCTGTGGGACACGGAGGCAGCACAGAAGGATCAGTTTGGAGTTTCTGGTCCAGCCTCCCTGCTCAAGCAGGATGATCCTTGTGGCACTGTGTCCAGAGGGTTCTGGAGTATCTCCAGCGAGGGAGACTCCACACTCCGTCTGTGCCACGGCGGGGTCACTGCACAGGGAAGAAGCTCTTCCTCGTATCCTCAGAATCACACGATTAGGTTGGAAAAGACCTCTCAGGCGGTGACGATGCCAGGTTTGTCAGCACTGAATTCCATGTCCCATCTTTCCTTAAACACCTCCAGGGACAGCGACTTCACCTCCCTGGGCAGCCCATTCCAGCGTCTAACCACTCTCCCTGCGAAAAAATTCCTACTCGTGTCCAACCTAAACCTCTCAGGTGAATTTAACCCTTTATCTTCTTGTCCTATCGCCAGCAACCCGGGAGACAAGGCCGACCTCCAACCTGCTGCCAGGTAGAAAGGTGGAATTTTATCCAGATGGAATTTCCTGCCATTGCAGCGAGCGGAGCCTCCTCCATCCTTCGACACCCCCCTTTATTATTTATACGCATTACGAGATGCTCCATTCCCCGCTCCCCTCGCTGCCCATCCCCGGACCCGCGGCTCACCGGAGCAGATCGCAACCCAACCGCACCGCGTCGTGAAGCGAAGCCGCCGCCAGCCGCTCCCTCAGCGCCGAGTCCAGCGCGGCCCAGAGCCGGGCGGTGCGGCCGCGCCACTCCGCCACCGGCAGCGCCATCACTGCCACCACAGCCACCGCGCCACCGGCAGCGCCATCGCCACCACTGCCATCACTGCCGTCACTGCCATCATTGCCGTCACTGCCATCATTGCCGTCACTGCCATCACTACCACCGCGCCACAGGCGGCAGCGCCACCGCCGCCATGGCGGCGCCCAGCGGCATCCCCACACGGATCACAGCGGTACTTCCGCCGTACGGCGCCGGGCAGCCAATAGAAGCGCGTTCTGGCGGGTGGCGCACGGCGCGGCGGAGGCGGCGCCGGAAGGAGGCGGTGGCGGCGGCGGCGGCGGGAGGATTTGGCGGCGGCGGCGGGAGGATTTGGCGGCGGCGGCACCATGAGCGTGCGGCTGAGCGAAGGGGCCATCGCGGTGAGCGGCCCGGCGTGGGCTGGGGTGCACCTGCGCCTGGGCACGGTGCGAGGTGAAAGCCGGGCCTGGGCACCGCGCCCGGCCCGGTCCTGAGGGGAGAAGCAGGCCCGGAGCGGGGCCTGGTCCCGCGGGGGTTTCCTGGTCCGGCGGTGGCGGCCGCACCCGCGTCCCTGGCTTCTCCACGGCAGTTCCTCCTCAAACCCTTGGCTGTAGGTCGGGCGCGGGGTCTCAGATGTTCCTGTGGCGCTTTCCTGAGCGTCTCTTTCATTTCTGCAGGCCATAATGCAAGGGGAGGAAGTCTTCAAGCCCGTGCTTCAAGTCATCGTGAGTACTGTCCCTTCCCTCGGTGGCTGCTCTTGGAGTCCTGAGTGCAGCCAGACTTTCCTCTGCAAAGAAGCCGAGCAAGGCTGCTCTACTTTTAATTCTCTTAATTTTGTTTTACATTGCTTGGGCTATGAAGTTGATATTAGTGCTCAGAAAAGCCGAGTAGATAAGTCACTTGTTAATGTCGCTTTCTGGTTTTGAAAAGTTTCTGAAGAAATGTGAACTGACAGCCTGGGTTTTTTTTTTGTTTTTTTTTTCCCTGCAGAATACACGGGCTATTGCCACAGGAACTGGGCCCCCACGTTACCGAGTGCTGATGAGTGATGGGGTGAATACTCTCTCCTGTGAGTATGACAAGCTGCTGTGAGGTTTTTCTAAGTGTAGACATGCTACGGGTGATGAAGTTCCTACTCTGGTGACTTGGATGCAAAGTGCTGAAATAAACATTGAAGGAGAATGTGGTTTTTTCACTGGCCCACAGACTCTGAAGTGTGCAACTGCGTTTTGTCCTTTAGGTGAAATGTCTGGCTTTTGGAACATTGTGAAATATGAACAATCAATTTGCTGCAGGATGTAATGAAAATACAGAAACCTATACATATAACATTAATTTAAAAGTAATTTAGCTTAACTTTCCTCTTAGTTCTTTGATATACAAGCGTTCTAGCTATCACTGCACTCTGAAGTGTGGGGAATGAATACAGCACACTTCATGGTCAGTTTTGGTGACTTCTTAGCAGTTGCACTGTTTTCTTTGTCAAGCTGTAGATCCAGTGCAATACTTGACTGGCTGAAAAAAGTGTGGCAGCCCCTTTTAAAGCTGTCATTGTGAATTATTTCAATATTTTCCTTCTGCTCCTGCAGCATTCATGTTGGCAACACAGCTGAACTCCCTGGTGGAAGAGGAACGCTTGTCAGCCCGGTGCATTTGCCAGGTTAACAGATTCATTGTCAACAGCCTGAAAGATGGAAGGTATTTGTGTTAATCTTTAAGTTCAGCCCTACAGAAAGGCAGCTGCATCAGTGTGTGCTTTGTGACTAAGCAGAGGCCAAGTGCTTTTGGTTGGGATTATCTGACAATACTCATGTTTTAGGGTGTGAGAGGGACAGTCCACAGCAGAAGGAAATTGCAGAATGTGACTAGTGAGATCAGATGTATCTGGTACAGTGATATAGTAATAAAAAATTTCCAGTTGCAATACTCCGCCTCCAGCTGGAATACTCCAAATACTTGTACAAAGCTTCCTTAAAATTTTCTGCTGTTGAAAAGAAACAATAAAGGTATCTTGTTACTTAGGTGTTGTGGGATCTGGTCTTTTATTAAAATTTGAGGAAATAGGATAGGAGGAAAATTTGAGGGGATGGGATACTGCAAAGTGGGAAGGGATCCAGGTGAAACTATTACAGAAAAACTGTGTGTATGTCTATCAGGAGATGAACTAAGGTTTGTATTCTTTTTATTCTGAAGAGAAGACAGCAACTTTTGAAGCAGGGAATAAAAACCTGGTATGGTTTAGCTATTTTTAAAACACAGTGGTTTCCCAAGCTATTTTTGGTGCCTGTTCAGGCCTGCCCTTGATGCAGTGATATCAAGTATCCTTGATATTGTTTCAAGTTTACTTGTCCCTCAAGAGAGGGCTTAGTTGACAGTGGAAAGCTTTTGTCTCCCAGATCCATAATCCAAAGAATCAGCCTCTTAATGCTTGGTTTTCTCAGCTGCTGCAAAGGATATCCTGAGATGGGAGCTGCAGAGGGAGTGACAGTCTTTGTTTGTTGTCTGTTCTGTTGTAGGAGAGTGGTGATCCTGATGGATGTAACTGTCCTGCAAACTGCTGATCAGGTTGGTGGGCCTATTGGCAATCCCCAGCCATACAATGAGGGTGAGTAGCTGCAAGTAAACACTTTTCTGTCACCTCAGAGCCTTTCAGCTTCTCTCTTTCACTTGAAAAAAGCAGTCAGACACATTCAGGGATTTTTTTTTATGCTCCAGATCTTCAAAATCCTTGTTGTTTGTGTCACACAAACTGGGGTTTGTTGCTATTTTAATAAACTCTGCATCATGGCTGAAGCTTGAGTCTCTCCACGGTGTTTGGAGCATCCATACCTTATAACCTTGACAGGTTTTTATTGTAGTGAGTGGTCTCTACCTCGAGTTCCAGTAAGTAAGCGGAAGCGATTTTATGTCTCCTCATAATGAGGAATCAAATAGATTCTAATTTCTCCTGTCTGGAAAGAAACAGGAGGAGGAAGATGGAATAATGATCTGTAAAAGTCTAAGATGCCATGGAGGGGATGAATAAAGAATGATGAATCTCTCTCTCTCTTTTTTCTATGTTCATTTGATGCTCTTCAGCTCTCATGTTGTCAGGCAGTGGTTGTAAAACAAAGGCTGCACCACACCCCTAAACTGCACGGTTAAATTATGGAACTTGTGGAGGTAGGTGCCAAAAATTGGCACAGATTCAAAAAGCAATTAGATGTGAAAGAGAAATCCATTAAAGGCTGTTAAACATAACAATACATCCTCTGCATGAATGTTAGGTGCAGGAAGCACTAAAACTTAGATTGTTCCAAGTACATAGACAAGAGACTGGTATGAAAACAAGGAGAGCACAGAATTCCCCAAGCACCCATTCCTACCATGCCTAGCTGAAAAAGGATTGAGGCACTGGGTGGACCTTAATCTGACCTGCCATTAATCTCTTTGGATCTGTTATGTTGCATAAATAACTGTGTTCTTCCCTTTTGTGTGCTGAGCTTGCAGTTCTCATGCAAATGGTTTTTTAAATTAAAACATTTTTCCCTCTGAGAATGTTCAAAAGCCTGCTCTATTCCAATTCTGATCTTTTAAAAAGGAGGGAGAATAAGAAGCCCTTAAAAGGAAATATTTTAACAGCTCTGTCAGTGATGTATACACAGATAATGGCTGGAATTTAATAGCAAACAGCTCTTCCTGAAGATTTTTTTTTTAATCCTGAGAGAAGTGGACTAATATATTTTTATTGCTAAGGGACAACACATTAGTGTCAAGAGTTTTCTGTAGAATAGTTTGGACAAAAAGTGGTGGTAGGTACATTGCTCTTCTGGTTAAAAATCTATTCTGTTGCAAAGGAAAAGACATCTTTCTTCATTAACTTTTTCCAAGGGAATTAAGAGGGGCGTATGTTAAATGAGCCTAAAGAATCCTTTGTTCCTTTGATAGTTACTTAGCTAATTGCTGTTTAAAAAATGTGTTGACATCTCAGATTTTATGGTTTAATCCCACAGTTGCTGTAGAGACCAAGACTTTCAGAATAGCTACTGAGCAGACTGTTTTGTGCCTTTCTCCCATTTCCCTGCTTATGTGATACAAGAGCTTGTGAACTATAGTGTTTTTCAGTTATATTGTTGCTTAGAAACCACTGAGAACGTGGTATCTGACAGAACTGAGCTGAAAATATACCTTTAACTATAAATTCTGGTAAAATTACCATTACTTTGATCAAAGTTGTGTTCTTCATTTGGACTTACAAAAATACTCTGCAGTGAAGGTTTCAAATCTAAACTCTTTTGGAGATGTTACAGGTCTGTGGTCATAATATGTGTGGGTAAAAAGATGCAAAAAAAGATGTAATGTGTATTTCGTTTGAACACTGATCTTATTCTGACAACTTCATACCCTTTTATTTGATACTAAATAAGGTTTCTGATACAGAAGATGGTAATAATTTAGATTAGGTAAGCTTAACTCAGCCAGCTCTGCAAACTGCAAGATTTATCATGAAGGCCTTGATGAAATGGCAGAGGTGTGTATTTCAAGCTGGATATTCTCTAAGTTCCTGTATATATTAATAAATTGGTATTTTTGAGGAACACTCAGCTAAGGCAAAATGAACATCTTAAATGTACTTTGTGTTTCTGTTAAAAAAAAAAAAGTTCTGGTATTTTAAAAATGTATCTTTTAGCCCTACTTTTGGTTTTCCTTGAAATACAGATCTCAGACTGCCAGACCTAGGATTAAGGAATATTCTTTCTCAGACTGTAATAGCACAGTGGGACCCAGGAGGGTGAGAAGCTGGCTTTTGGCCACTTTACATGGGAGCAGTAGGTGGTTAATCTGCCTAACAAGGAAGCTGGAGACACAATCTTCTTATTACAAATCATAAAAACTTTTCAGGCAGCCTCTCATAATAGTATTGAAAATTAAGACTGAGCAGTTTAGTTCTTGTTGAAGACTGGATGGTTGTGTTATTACTGTCGTTAATCTCATTCAAATTACTCTGATGCTGGACTTCCTTTTCACTATGACAATGACTTGCTACTTATGTTCAACTTCTGTCATTAATCTTTCCATGTTGAAATGTTTATGTACTTACACATTCACTTGAACTCCTTACTCTTGCCCTTCCCACTGCTGTGATTTAGAGGTGTGTTGTTTCAAAGTGCATTTTTTTTTTTTCCCTTCTCTCCCTTCCCTGCTGCTCAGTTTGGGGGCAGGTCTTGTGTCATGGCACTGTGGC